TTAAATCCTTTCTGCAAATGTAGAACGTACATTCACTAGTATAATTTTAACGTTTCCAGCCGAATAGCAATGCGCCTCGTACATCGTTCAACTTTGGTATTGGTCAAATAAGTTGGTTTCACATTTTTTATGATTCGCCTTATCCGCTTTCAGTCATCTATCGATGGCTCATTTCAGTTTTTATCTCTCTTCTCATATTGATTGTCTTTCAGATGATGCTGCCTTGAAAGGAATGCTGATCGAAAAGGAACACGAAATGAACGATGAGAAAAAAATGAAAAGAATCAAAGACAGGGCTGATCGTGCAACTGTTGAACAGGTGGTACACTTCTGCAAATAAGCTTACTTTTCTTACCGATGAATTAAATGATGTGCTGTAAGCACTGATGTCTTCAACTGAGTTTCATCCGTTCAGGTACTGGACCCTCGTACAAGACTGATATTATTTCGAATGTTACAACGAGGTGTGTTCACAACGATGGAAGGCTGTATCAGCACAGGGAAAGAGGCCAATGTCTATCATGCCATTAAATTCACTGATAATAATAAAGATAATGGAGGTTGTGATAATGAACAAAGTCTAGCAGTCAAAGTATATAAAACAAGTATACTTACATTCAAAGATCGTGAACGTTATGTGGCTGATGAATTCAGGTGAATTTAGTTGCGTTTTCATTCAGTATTGTTCTCTAAATATTGCTCTGGTTGATTCGGTGTCGATATTTGGTTCTCTTAATCGCTTAAAATTGAACACTTTATATCTTAGTGTAAACTGCATTGATGTTCAAACAATGAAATTGCACTAAACGTAAGATGAAATGAACTTTCAAGGTATCGTCATGGTTACTGCAAACGAAACCCCAGAAAAATGGTGGCAACTTGGGCTGAAAAAGAGATGCGAAATTTGATGAGGATGAAACAGGCGGATTTACCGGTTCCGAAGCCACATTTATTGAAGGGACACGTTCTTGTGATGGACTTTATCGGAAAAGATGGATGGCCTGCACCATTACTAAAGGTATCTTTCGTATTCAGTGCGTTTGATCTATTTGATCTATTCCCTCACATAGTTGAAGTGAACAAATCAGTGTGGTTTTGTTGAATGCAGATATTATTATCGTGATGAGATGTAATCCTTTCAGAATGCTGAACTGTCCGAAAGTAAAGCCGACGAATTGTACGTGAAGGTGGTGGGGTATATGCGAACGATGTATCGTGAATGTCGTTTAGTTCACGCAGATCTCTCAGAGTATAATATGATTTTGAATGGTGATCAACTGTATATTATCGATGTATCACAATCTGTTGAACATGATCATCCTCATTCTCTGGAATTTTTGCGGTCCGATTGTTCCAATGTTACAAAATTCTTCCGAAGCAGAGGGGTGAGTGTTGTGGTTGTTTTGTATGTGGTTAAAGGTTAAAGGAATCGTCGTTCATGAAAGA